TGAGCATGTGCTTATTGAGCATTTGAATATACATTAATTTTTTAAAGTTTAACCTAAAGTAAAATTGTAATCTATCCTCTTTGTCCTCAGATGATGGAAACAAAATCAAAAAAATTAACAGCATCAGAAAATAGAAAAAGGAATGCTGTTAGAGAAGAAAATGAGAAACAATTCTGTGGATCGTCAAGTACACTTTTGAAAAAAATAGATGGAATCACAGAAAAAAAGGAAAAGACTTCAGAGCTACACCTTTCGGTAGAATGTGGCACGGATACATTACTGATCAAAGAGAATGTGAATTTACCTCCTTCTTCCGCGTCAGCCATAGCTGATACATTTCAAGAGCAACTGGAAGAGAAAAATTTTGAAGACTCCATTGTACCAGTTGTGCTTTCTGCAGATCCAGGTACGTGGCCCCGAATTTTGAATATTAAACAACGGGACACTCTTGTTGAAAATGTTCCGCCTCAAGTAAGAAATTTTAACTTTCCAAAAGATAATACAGGGAGAAAGTTTTCAGAAACTTACTATACACGGATTCTTCCAAACGGTGAAAAAACCACTAGATCCTGGTTACTTTATTCGACCTCAAAAGATTCTGTGTTTTGTCTATATTGCAGACTCTTTGGGGAAGGAAAAAATCAACTGAAAAATGAAAATGGTTGCAAAGATTGGCAACATTTATCACATATTCTTAGTAAACATGAAGAAAGTGAAATGCACATCAACAATAGTGTTAAGTACTCAAAATTAAAATCTGATCTGAAAAAAAATAAAGCTATTGATGCTGCAGAACGCAGATTATATGAAAATGAGAAAAACGATGGTGCGCTGTTGTTGTACACATAATATACCTGATTTGTTTTTTGGCATGATGATCAGAATCTTACATTACTCAGAAAACATCTGTGCTGCAAGAGTCAGTACTATCCTGTTGTAAGTCTCCTCTACAGAGTAACTTGCAACAGTTCCTTAGCAATAAGTACGTTAGCAAATAAATAGCAAAAAATGTTTCCATTCTAAATCTAAAACTAATTAGTTTCAATCATCATTAGGCAATGAAGATTAACAATAGTAATTGTTAATCTTCAAAATCTATCAATTTACACCTATTTAAAAATTGGCATTTAATGACTGCCATTTGACGGGTTTGGTTAATATTCAGTTCTTGGCCGGGCGCGATGACTCAACGCCTGTAATCCCAGCACTTTGGGAGGCCCAGGTGGGTAGATAATGGAGGTCAGAAGTTCAAGACCAGCCTGGCCAACATGGCAAAACCTGGTCTTTGTTAAAAATACAAAAATTAGCTAG